TAGCTCAAGAGATTAAACGTCATCCCATACACCAAGAAGCCGCCAGTTTGATTCACAGTCAGGGCACCTGCCTAGGTTGTGGGCTTGATCTCCAGCCGGGAGTGGAGGTTGGAAAAGCAGGAGGCAGCCAGACTGGTTTGATTCCTCCTCAGGTTGCAGGTTCAATCCCCATTGGGAAGCATGTAGAAGGCAGCCAATCAATGTTTCTCACATGGATGTTTTTCTCTCTCTCCCTCTTTCCCTCTCCCTTCTTCTTTCTAATATCAATAAAAACATATTTTTCAAAAAAAGAGACACTCACATGGCACTTCAGTCTTACAGTGAAAGTTTCTCGAGTGTCTGTGTGTTGCACGCCAAGCTAAAGACTGAGATGCCAACGCAATGTCCCTTGCTCTCAAGAGCCTTGTATTTGGACGGGGGAGGAAAGGTTTATGCCTTGTGACATCATTTCACTAAATGTGTGGTGCTGACAAGAGGGGACCAGGTGGTTATGTAACATTTCACTCTTTTTTGGTTTAAACATTTGTTTTTCAATATTCTGATTTTGTACTTGGTATGGATAGTTTGGAAAAGTTTTATGGCAATAGTTGTTGTTTTTTAAACTTTTTCTTATTTATTTAGGGGTCAAGGTGGGAATGGAGATCTGTCAGATGCTAAAAAAGATAATTTTATCAAAAATATAATTTAAAGTGTTTTAATTTAAACTTTCAACTGTTTCCCATTGTACCTGCTGTAATTCATTCATGCCTTTACCATCCATTCATTAAGTGCCCCCTGAAGCCACACTCACTTATGGTGAGAGTGATCTTGGGCCCTTCCCAGGAAGTTCTGTGTCATGATTCTGAACATCAAAGCTACAATTAATGCACCACGAGGCGTTCAATGAGACCTGAAGCTCTGCTCTACTCTGCTATGGGTGCCATTTGTTCCAGAGGCAGGTACGCTCCGTAGTTTGTTAACTTGCTTGTCTGGCTTCCTTTAGAAGGTGAGCAGTGAGAGATTCCAGGATCCATGTGCAGAGAGCACTGTCCCTGCACTAGGAGGGGTCATGTGCACTTTCAAGCTTTGTAGCAGCATATTAGCATTAAAACATCAACAAGCTTACAACTGATCTGGATCTTACCGAAGCAGCTCCAAACTGAATTTTCCAGTAAATATTTACACAGGAGAGCTTTAAATATTATACTAGAAGTCTTTTCAATCACAATAATGTTGGGGTTAAATATAAGGACAAAGGAACTGAGTAAAGTCAATAATCTACCCTCCCTTGAGCAAAACACAGGTACCACTGTGTCCAGAACTAATGAGGAATGCACGGAATAACGAACTCAGAGAGCCAGGTAAAAAGGCACAAGATTCGTACCTTAGATACAATACTGATTAATCATGACAGATCCTCTCCATGATGAGCCATTTGGAGTTAGAAAAGAAAAGCATTCATTTATCATTTAAAAAGATTATGTTCTTTCAGTATTAATGTCTACTCTCTTATTTTTTTAAATATATTTTTATTGATTTCAGATAGGAAGAGTGAGATAGAAACATCAATGATGAGAGGGAATCATTGATTGGCTGCTTCCTGCACGCTCCCTACTGGGGATCGAGCCCGCAACCCCAGCATGTGCGCTTGACCAGAATCAAACCGGGGACCCTTCAGTCCGCAGGCCGACATTCTATCTACTGAGCCCAAACCAGCTAGGGCAATGTCTACTTTCTTATAGTTTTAATCCCCTTCCCCTTTTCTGTCCAACCCTCTCCACTCTGGTAACCATCAGTTTGTTCTCTGTATCTATGAGTTGGTTTCTGTTTTGTTTTGTTTTATTTTTTAGGTTCCACATATAAGTGAAATCATAGGGTATTTGTCTTTATGTGTCTGAGTTATTTCACTTAACATAATACCCTCTAGGACTCAAGTGGCAATATTGCAGTCTCTTTTATGTCTGAGTAATATTCCATCATATAGATACAGCTTTTTTTTTTAATCCTCACCAAGGACATGGAGAGAGAGAGAGAGAGAGAGAGAGAGAGAGAGAGACATTGATCAGCTGCCTTCTGCCTGTGTCCCAACTGGAGATCAAACCCACAACCCAGATATGTGCCCTGAACATGAATTGAACCAGCAACCCTTTGGTGCACAGGACAACACTCAACCAACTGAGCCACTCTGGCCAGGCTGGATACTTCTTCTTTATCCATTCATCTATCAGTGGACACCTAGGTGTTTTCCATATCTTGGCTATTGTAGATAATGTCACAATAAATTTTCTAATTATTGTTTTTATTAAAAAAATAAATGCCCCAAAGTGGAAATGCTAGCTTATATGGTAGTTCTATTTTTATTTTTTTTTAGGAATCTTCATACTGTTTTTCATAGCATTCTATGAAAATGTCTATTCTTGAAAACTGGGAAAATAAAAGGAATAGTAAGCAATTTACTAATCTGCCTTGACATTCAAAGCACTTAGAATGTTTTAGGAGTTTTTTCAGTGTTTGTTATTATAACACTGAGAAACTAGGTAAAAAATAATCCTCTAATATATATTTAAATGGATCTATAGCTTCATTTATTTCATGTGAGCCCACAATAATGCATTTTGGATTGGAGGGATGATCTAAAGGAAAGTGGAATATTGTGTGTGAACCAAGCAAAACTCAAGAGAAACTGAATCCAGGCCTGTGCAATGACTTACACAACCAATTGTTTCCTGATCACTTCAGCAAATAAAGTTATACTTCACAATATTAACAATGGCACCTGAAGATTAGTGCTCTGAATAATTTTTATTTTCTTTCCACTTATCTGTGTTTTCTAGTTTTTCTATTATGAATATGTAAATTAAAAAATCATGCCGGTATGATGAATAAAAAAAGAGCATCATGTAGTCATGGTATGTGGTAGAAATGAATTTCCGCACAGTGTTTATTCCAGCTTCTAGAGTGCTTCCCGCACCGCAGAGGCTGGGAAACTCAATGCCACATTTCCTTGACTCCTTTGCAGCCGAGGTTCTGGATGCAAATTAAATTCTACCGATAGATGAACCTGCACGAAAAGGAGACCATTGTCTTGCAGCTTTGTCCCTTTCTGCAGGGGCCCTGTGATGGGGACTGGTGAGGGACGCTGAAGCAGAACTCCAGCATTGACCTCTAGCTCTGAGCTGAGAGGGAGTTGTGGGGTGACTGACTCACTTCTGGATTGCAGCTATAGCAGAAAATTTCTGAAGTCAACAGTTCTAGCAGTGACTTTATGATTCCTTACCTTCCTGATATCATGGAGGCTGCAGTCCCCTTGGGAGGCCTGTTTTGCAACTAAGAATCAGCTCTGGACACCTTGCCGAAAGGCAGTCTTTCTAGCTATTTTATACTTAATCTTCCTATGTCTAAAATAGCTGATTATTTGTTTTCTTGACAGAACCATGACTGATATAAGGGCTCATGAGCAATTTGGGGGCAAGCTTGTGCTGAAAGAAAAAAACATTTTATGACAAGTTGATGAAGATTATTCAGAGGTGTCAATATTTCAAGTTGCTTAGAATCCATCTGAATTGCAGAATGAAGAGCAGGAATTTGGAACAGTAAGATGGCCAACACAAGATGGAAACTAAAACACAATTCAAATCTCCAAGTATAGATGTAACGGGATCACAGTTCCTCACTTCCTCACTCAATACTATGATGTACAGATATAATGTGACTTCAAAATTTTTCTTCAATGGCTCTTCTCTTCCCAGGAGCCTTATCTCAAAGGAATTTGAAGAGGAATGGTGAGGAGCAGAGACATGAAATTAAATCTATTTGTGGTATTTCAACCTAAAGAATACTTTTTCATTTTGGTAGCAATTTGGTCTTTCCAGTTCTTCCTATATGGAATAGTTATTGCCAGACCCTCTGCCTCTGCTGGTCTGGTCCCTAGTCTGAGGACCACAGAGGACCCCTGATTATATCTAGGGGGTGGGCCACTGTGTGGTTACCTACTGACAGAACTTGTGGCTCTAGTTCTTGCTTCTGGTTGCAAAACCCCCTACACTATGGCTTCTTGGTTCCTCTCTGAAGCCTCTGCTGGGTCTCTGGCTTTCTCAGAATCCTCACAGCCCCACTGCGGAGCGTGCAGGACTTCCAGATCCCTGGAATCGTGCCCGCCAGGTCACACCCTCTGCCAAAGGCCCACACTACTGTGTTGATGCGGGTGGAGTCCATGTGGATGTGAATCATGTGTGGCCTTCCAGCTGAGGAATGAGGCAAATATTGCTCTGCTTTCAGCTGTCCTCCGAGCACATCTAACCTGCATCCGTGCTAAGGTTTCCACCTGGAGAGAGGAGGAGGCCAGGACACATGTATCTGTTCTCTTGGTTCCCCACCTACCAGGATGGAAGGGGTGAAGTTTTTATTTCTTTCTCTAAATTAGGGAATTCCTTCTGTGTCACCATCTACTCCCATCCAAATAGCTCCAACAGGGCTTCTGACAGTCAGGCAGGACTTGGCAGAGGAGGGTAACGTGGTTAGGAGGAGATGGTTACAGTGGGTGAGTCATAAAGGGGAAACTGGAGCTGGAGAATCCTAGAGGGAGATTATAGGAAAGTTGGCTTCAAGTTACCCATTCTGGACAGGACACTTGGCAAACAGTACAACACAGTGTAGTATTCAGAGAGAGGCCTCGGAACCTGCCCCATATACTAGCTTTGTGACCTTGAGGGAGTTATGCAACTTCTCTCAGGCTCAGTTTTCTCACTTGTAAAGCGAGGGATCACAATGGTACTTACCTCAGTGGTTTGTTGTGTTATAGAAAATAATGCTTATGAATGCATATCAGGCACCAGGCGCAGCCTCATGCACAGTGCGACCACCATAACTGAGGCTGTCATGAAACTCCAGTACAGAGATGGAAAACCATCTGTAACTACACAAATATAAGTTGTTACTCATTATAAGATATTAGGTTGAGTAGGTTGGAAAAGGTGGAGGGCACAGCCTTGTTTTCACTATGAGGCATTTATGAAGTAAGAATGGAAAGTGATGAAGTTGGATCCCAGGAAGAACTGAACATGAGACCTGACAAACAACCAGAAACACATGAAGGTGATCCTACTGGTAAGAGGGAGAGAAGGGTATTGCCTTAAGGGACCTATGTGCTTAGGGAGTATGAGGTATAAGACTAAGCTGAGAAACTTGTAGTCTAAAAAAACCTGCATAAAAGATACATGTAATCACATGATGCTTGGCCTTTTGTTGAATGTGATTATTCCAATTAATACATCATTATAAGACTATGTTTGTGAGCTCTAAAGATGACACAGGTCTTCTTTGGAGTATATGATCAAAGTTTTTGGTTTTTTCTTTTGCATTTTATTTTATCTGCTGTTTTGTTCAGAGAGTCCACTATTACAGGTTCTGCCCGGCCATGTGACTCCTCTGGCCCCAGAGTTCTTGGATCCAGCACTCACCCAGAAAGCCTTTGCCCACGATGTCAGCAGCATACAGCACATGCCTGCAGAGGACTCCAAAGTTCCACAATCCAAGGACATGTTTCTTCCTGAGCAGGGTGACACCAGCTCCTCAACAAAAACCATGCAGTCCAAGAAAGGCGACACTCCCAATTCCTCAAGGAAAATCATGCAGCCCAAGCAAGGCAACACATCCGGTTCCCCGGGGAAAACGACCCTGCCTAAAGAGGGCAACATCTTTAATTCCTCCGGGAAAACCATGCTTCCCAAAGAGAGTAACCCTGCTAATTCCTCAGAAGAACCCATCCCGCCTAAGCAGGGTGACATCTTCAATTTTCCAACTAAAACTAGCCCCCCTAAGCACAACAGTACTCCTATATCACCAGCAAAAAGCACCCTTCCTAAAGAGGGTAACACCCCTAGTTCCTCAGCAAAAACCATCCCTTCCAAGCAAAGTGACAACCCCAGTTTCTCAAAAAAACTTATCTTACCCAAGAAGGACAACACCCCCAAGCTATCAGAAAAAAACATTTCACCTAAGCCGAGTGACACCTCCAAATCTCCAGAAGAAACCATTCACCCTAAGCAGGGCAACACTCCCAAGCTATCAGCAAAATCCATTTCATTCAAGCCGGGTGACACCTCCAAATCGCCAAAAGAAACGATTCAGCAAAAGCCAGGCAGCACTCCCAAGCTATCAGAAAAGAACATTTCACCCAAGCAGGGTGACACCTCCAGATCTCCAGAAGAAACCATCCAGCCCGAGGAGGACCACACCCCCAAGTCCTCAGAAAAAGCCATCCAGCTCAAGGAGAGTGACACCCCCAAGTCCTCAGAGAAGAAAGCCATCCAGCCCAAGGAGGGTGACACTCCCAAGCCCTCAGAGAAGAAAGCCATCCAGCCCAAGGAGGGTGACACCCCCAAGCCCTCAGAAGAAGCCATCCAGCCCAAGGAAGACAAGTCCTCAGAGAAAGCCATCCAGCCTGCGGAGGGTGACATCTCAGCAGAAGAAACAGGGGAGCTCCTGACGTTCGATTTGGTGAAAGTGATCCTGAGCAAAGAGGATTTTGAGCTGGCGCTCAAGGAGGCAGGGGAGAGGCTGGTGGCCGTGGTCTTCTCAGCCACGTGGTGTATGCCTTGCAGGACCATCAAACCCCTTTATTGTTCCCTGTCTGTGAAGCACGAGGATGTAGTGTTCCTGCAAGTAGATGTTGATGACTGTGAGGAGCTAGTGCAAGACCGTGGGATCATTCATGTCCCGACCTTTCAGTTTTATAAAAGAGAAGAAAAGGTGAGTGAATTTTGTGGTGCCCTTAAGGAAGACCTTGAAACAATCATTGCAGAATTAAAATAGTGCATTCTGAAAGCATTACAGAGAGTCAGTTGTTCATGGCGTATGATTTTTTTTTATTAACAAAAAAGAAGTGTAACGAAAGTGTATGTCCAAATGATACCCACTTATAAATAATAAATGTTAACTCTATCCATGTCAAAAACTAGTCAAAGCCCTAAAGCATAATGTGACCATATTTTTCTTAATAGAAAACTGTGATATTAGAATTTCCTTTGGTGGATATTGGAAGTCCAGTTGTCCCCTACTTTTTTATCTTGATTTTTTTTCCCCACTCACCCTTGAAAATTCCTCATTTCCTGTTAGCAGAGACATTGGACATTTAGACAATTCTCTAGAAGTACATGATTTAAAGATGAGTAGAAACTTCTTATGTTCACATATCTTTGGGATTTCTGATAAGATATTTTTTGCAAATACAGAATCTGAGTCACATACTATATCTAACCTTTTTCTTGTGAGGGGAGTGCTATGGAGCCCCCAGGAAATTCCATGGGCTTGCCAGCCCCGATTCATTGGTGGCAGAACTGACACCAAGGCCATGCTTCCAGATTTCAAGTCCAGACCTCTGTTTTACTAAACAGTGCCCACAAAGTCTGAGACAGAGCTCAGAACTCTGGTTTCTCGGGCCAAGAGCTTTATTATTCAGGTTTAAGTTAGTGTGATCCTTGGTGCCATTGTGACATCAACTCCCTGGTGGCAAAGTTCCTGTTTTGTCTCCTTGGTAACTAGGTTTCAGATACCTGTTCCCAGATATCTCAGAACTCAAAGCCCCAGGTCTGAGTCATAAATGATGGCTTGGTCTGTCATCTTTTCCACGGCAAATATGTTCCAAAACCTCCGGTGGATGCCTAAAACCATAGGTAGTACCGAACCCTATATATATCATGTTTTTTCTATACATGCATACCTTTTCACTTAAAGGCTTCTCTTTGACATATCTGATTGCTAGCATCCCTACTCTTGTGATTTGGGGCCATTATTAAGCAAAATAAAGGTTACTTGAACACAAGTGCTGTGATACCTCAATAGTCGATCTGATAACCAAGCAGCTGCTCAGTGACAACTGCATGGGGAGCATGAAAAGTGTGGGGATGCTGGACAAAGAATGATTCACGTCCCAGGAAGGAGAGAGTAGAATGGGGTGAGATTAGAACAATTAAAATATAACATGAATGAATTACATCAACTGTTGTTTTTTCTGGGACTGTAGTATTGAAGAAATTTCTATCATCGGTTTTTCTTTATATTTAGGTTACTAAGTGATGACATGGACAATGACCTAAAAAATCCTTTAAAACAATTGTAATAGATTTTCAGGTGATTTTATACTATTCCTGGTATAAGTCAAAGGAAGGAGGCAAAGCACGACTTCGCAAAGGGAATTCTGTTGGGTCAAGAAAATGTGGAGCAAATAGTGTGGCTCTCTGATGATCTAGCTTGATCCAGGGATAAAATCTAAACTACCAGAGAATCAATTCATGTCCTTCAAATATTCACCAGAAACACCATTTTTCTTGACTCTTGGGATAACAATCAAACAGTAACCAGGTCAAAGTTACATTCTCTGGCAGAAAGCTTGAATATGGACATTCTATTTTGCTCATTAAGAGAAAATTATGCCCTTAAATGATCCAAGCAATTGTTATCACTTGTAGTATTTAACATGAAGGAGAAATAAGATTTCTAATGAAAAGGAAGAGTCCAGATAATCATATTGGTTGTGAATGATGAGAGCCTTAATCAGAATTAATGGAAAACTGTTTGAATTGATAAAAGAACTCAACAAAGTGACAGAATTAAGAGTAATAGCCCAAAATCAATGGTTTCATTTTGAGTCAATAACAAATAATTGGGAATCATTATGGGAAAAAGTCTCATTCACAATAGTGAACATAAAATAAAATAAAATAAAATAAAAATATAATTAAAATAAATTATCTAACAACAGTCCTAAGAAGAATAGTAGGATTATTAAGACTAAATGTAAAAGTTCTGAGAGGTACACAACAAGAAGCTCTGGATAAGTGAAACACAGTTAGTTTCCCCCTTTGGAGAAAAAAAATTGAAAGATGTTGATTTTTTTTTTTTTTTTTGCTTAATTTAGTAGATATACTGTAATTACAAACCCACATCTCAATGAGCTCATTGGGAGAACTTGACAAACTACTTAAAATTTACTAAAAATCGTAGCCAAGAGTAGGTAGGAAAAAGTCTTAATTGAGAAGTAATGAAGATCAATATACCCTATCAGCTAGTAAAATGTATTATCAGTATAGTAATTGTAGTGACACCAATAATGGTATTGATGAAGGAAAAAGACAGCAATGAAACATAATAATAACCAAGAATCAAAATTTGGTATGTAGGTCGTAATATATGAAAAAGGAAAACATCTCAATTTGATGAAATATGAATAGATTATTTTGAAAGACTTGCACAACAAAATTTGGACATTTGGGAGAAAAACAAATTTGCATCCTGTTTCCATACCAGACAATAAAATAAATAAAAGTTGGATTAAAGAATAAAAAATGGAATCATTTAAAAATTTAAGGTTTAAACATTTATCTGATTCATGAATGAAAAAGACTTTATAAATAGAAATGCAATTAAAGAAATATATTTGAACATATAAAAAATTTAAGCTTTCTCATGCCAAAATATAAACAAAGTTAGCAGGAAACAAAAAATTGAAAAAATACTTGCAAATGAATGACTTGAGATTCAATACACTTATTTATAGAAAGCACTCCTGTAAATCAGTAAGAAGAAATAGACTACCGCAATAGAAAAATAGGCAAAAGCCACAGTCAGTTCATATTCGAGTGAAAACAAATTGATAATAAACATAAGGAATTTTTACTGATAGATAGAAAATTATAAACAAAAGTCAACCAGACTTTGAGAGTACAGCCAGCAAGAACGTAGGGAAATAGTGCTCCTGATGGAGTGGTAAGACTGCCACAAACCCTTCCAGAATATAGCAGTGTAACAAAGGTGCAGAGAATTTTGTGAACATTAGCTTTTGTGTTACTCTGCTAGGACTGCCATAAGAAACTATTAGAGACTGTGGGACTTTAACAGCAGAAATGTATTTTTCACAGTCTGGAAGCTGGAAGTCTGTGCTCAAGGTGTTGGCAGGGTTGGTTTCTTCTGAGACCTTTCTTATTGCCTGGCACATGGGGCCTTCTTACTGTTTTGTCTCCACGTAGTTGCCTTTCTGTGTGCGCATAGCCCTGGAGTCCGTGTGTCCAAACTTCCTCTTCTTAGAAGGACCACTGAGATTGGATTGGGGCCCACCCTAACAGGCTCAGTTCTTTAAAGCTTGATCATCTCTTTAAAGAGCCTATTTCCAAATACAGTCATATTCTGAGGGCTTCAACATAGGAATTTTGGGAGGGACTCAGTTTAGCTGATAATAGCTTAAGATGAAGCTCAGAGGCTGGACATAACAAATCCTCTGGGGGAGCATCGAGAAAAAGATAATTTCTAAGAAAGCCTTAGGACCCCAGGTAGCATATCAGAAAAGCTGAGGGGTGGTACCCTGGGGATGCTGCCTCGAGCCTCTCTAGAGTCAGTCCCCAAAGTAAAAACGAAGGCTTCTCCAAAGGCCAGAGGGTCTTTGGTCTCGGAAGAACATAGACCTTCAAGCGTAGAACAAGAAATTAGAACATCATGGCCTCAGATGGCAGTGAAGCCACTTGTCCATTTCTCCAAGTGATTCTTCTGCCTTGAAAGCTCAGGAGTGTGGGGATTCATCACCCATTCCATTTAAATACATCTCACTTCATTTTAATCCTATCTAATTTCCTTAAGTCCGTAACTATATGGCCTTAAAACTAAATAATACCCTGTACTTTATGCAAATGACGAATTATCTTATGATAACATGTTTCGCTAAAGATAACATATGGAATATGAATCAACATACGAAACACTTATGAAGTAAATACTCAGAAGGATGCAAAAGAAATGAATTAGGGGAAGACAGTTTGGGGGCCTGACCTTCTAAATGATGTTTTTGAAGTTTATCTTTTTCCAAGTATGAGCCAGTTGATTTAATAGTGGGGATTTACATGTAATATTCCATGGATGTTCAATACTTTTTGAGGCAGAAATGTTAATTTCAAACAAATTACCTTCAGCAAATATTTGAAAGTTATGGTCTATTGTTCTCTATAAAATTCCAATGTGATTTTTGGCAGATTTAAAAAAATATATTTTTTATTGATTTTAGAGAGGCAGGAAGAGGGAGAGAGAGATAGAAACATCAGTGATGAGAGAGAATCATTGATCAGCTGCCTCCTGCATGCCCCACACTGGGGATCGAGCTTGCAACCCTAGCATGGTCCCTGACCAGGAATCGAACCTCCGGGTTCATAAAAGGATGCTCAACCACTGAGCCACGCCAGCTGGGATAAGGTGGGTATTTCAAAATGAGATTTGGCATGGGGAAGAATGAAGAAGAGTGGGGTTGTGCTCACTAAGAACCTACCTGCAGGCCTTACTGCTGTTTTCACTAAATGCCTCTGAAGGGTCTCTGGCCTCTGGAGGGTCATCGTGCAGGTAGGACTGGAGGAAGAAGGAAAGGACTGCTTCTCTGTCCTGTGCCCCATGAAGGTCACAAAGCCTTGGTGTTGAAAGACAAAGCTAAATGCAAGTCTAATGACTCATAGATCAATATTTGGCACTGACATTAAGGCGATCCAGGAGGAAGTCACCAACCCGTCAGCTAATGACTGTTAGTTTAGGAAAGGCAGATAGACTAGTCATCTCCCAGGGAAGGCTTTAAGAAGATTTCCTTTAAAACATACCAGCTAACATCCTGCTAGACTAGACTGTAGTGTGTTGTCGTCCTATCAGAAACAGCCAAAAACTGGAGCAGTATCTTAAAGAAACAATTCAATATTAATGGATTTTAATGATCCCTTGCTCATATTCCCTAAGAAGCTTGAACTCTTTCTGTGAGCTCAGAATAATTCATATGATAAAGATGCTTGCTTTGAAATTCTGTTTTGGTATCTGAGGTTTGTTTTTTTTTTAAGTATTTATAAATCCAAATTACGATTCCACTTTATTTTGGATTGCTATTTTCATATATGTCTATGTCAGATATAAAAATCCTAAAATAAAGTTGGTCATTTATCTTCTTCAGACCCCAACTATGGTACTGATTTGTTTCTTAAAGGCTCACAAAAGAAGTCAAAATTTATGATGTGTGGTTCATATAATACACATGTTTTTTTATTGATATCCAGGTTGAAGGCGAAAGATAGGTGCATATGTCAGGAATGAGCTGTATTCAGAGCTAATAAATAAACTGTTTGAATGCAGTGAATATTCAGAGCCCATAGGCTGAACTCTAGGAAAACTGTTTGGAGGTACATATGAAACTGAAAACTCCTCTGCTTTTAATTAAAGTAATAAATTAGTTTCTAATTCTTAGGATTCTTCTGTACTTCATTGACTTGCTTAAATACCAGATCTTGATAACCCTCGTTGATCCTTTTGGCTAGAGATCAGATGTCTTTTCAGCAATTCAAGTGAAACTTGTCCAAATGTCCCCTCTCCAGTAGGCAGAGGAGTTCAGGATGGGGAATTCCTGAAAGTCAAGGGCTGAGAGCAGGGGTCTCTCTAATATCAGGCAGTAGAGAA